TTTCCAGTCCTTGTGCAGACTGTGGCCGCGTGGCATGCGCGTCTAGCCAACAGTGCCTTTGAGAGTTCTCTAGGATGCCTCGCCTTCCCCCAAAGTTTACTAGTTGGCTGGTGGAAATGGCCACATGTGCAACTGGACTACCTAGTTTCGGTCGTCCAGGCCTTGTGGTGGGCGCGAGACATTGAAGTTCTTGTATTGAAGTTCTCGTATCAATCCAAAAAAATCTAACACTTTCCAATGCTTGTGCAGATTCTTCTTGAGCTGGCTCGTATGGCGCCCGATACGATGCTGCCTGCCATCATCGAACAAGGCCACGTGAAGTCCCCCAGCAAAGCAACGCTTCTCTCTGTTGGAACTGGTGGTGCTTGCACAGAGTTTGATGTAGCAGGCTGCATGCACTGCTTGCCTTTCCTTGCGTGTTGCCCGCAGGATCTGCAGAAGCATGCATCAAGGTCTTGGAAAATTCAGTCAGAATCTTGGAAAAATAGGAACATGTTCAGTGGCGATGTCATGGGAGTTTGATGCGGACTGACGACACAGCCAGACGCACATTTCAAAAATAGACCGAACACCGAACACCATCTGCGATATCTGCAAGTGACCACAGGATGCATTTGGAATTTGGCTCCGTCTCCTTTCGTTTTGGTGGGGTTCTAGTCACTCTAGTCTTTTTTTCCTGCAACAACCTTGTCATGGTTCCTTTGATCCAGCTTCTTAGTGAATACAGTTCTACGTTGCAGTTGCCTTTTTCCAAGTGCGCTTGTCGGCCTTGTTTTCCTGTCCCGGTTTTTGGTTTCTGTGTCCAGGGAGCCGATCCAATGGACCAGCTTACAGCGCCGCAACCTCACGGGTCCTGAGGATCTTGCAGATTTTGTAGAGAACTCAGACGGAAAAAAACGAGTCTCCAAGGCTCAATCTTCTGCTGTCTCTCACTAAGAGAGCTCCAGCACCAATTGCTGCAACTGGTGCTTATGAAGTCATCAAGGCACAATGCAATCAATACATTACTTACATTACTTTGTCGATTTGCGCCACGAATATTTTGGAGATTTGCAAGTCCAGCTACTCTGAGAAGTTCCTGAAACTTGACCAATCAGAGACCGGCAGAGACTTGATTTGATTTCTGTACATTGAATAGAAAGGTTTTTAACGACCAAACTTTTGACAAAGTCGCTGTCTAGAGTACTAGAAGGTGTTGCGGCAGAGATTTGGTGTTGTCCCAACAGCAGAAAGCTGTGAGGTCACAATCTCTCGGGGCAGGGTGGTGTCGCGTTCCTCCCTCTTTGGCATGTATGTGCAGAGTTCCGGGAACCTCGTAACTCTGTCAGCGTCTCTCACTTTGTCTCCCAGCTCGTCTTTTAGTGTGTGTGCATTGTCTCCCACCTGGAGCCTTCCCAGTGTCTCCCACTGTGTGTTCCACTATGTCTCCCCATTGTGTGTCGCACTGTGCCTCCCGCCTTGTGCGCTTTGTCTCCCAGCTTGCCTCCCAGGCTTGTCTCCCACTGTGTGTCTTACTGTGTCTCCCACCTGCAACCTTGAAACCTTTTTTGTCCCACTCTGTTTCCCTAACAGCAGAAAGCTGTTGGGTTTCAATCTCAGCAAGCAGTGGATGGTATCACGACTTCCTTCTTCTCTGGCATGTATTCGCAGGGTTCCGGCTTCCGGGAAGCTTCGAACCTTGTCTCCCAGTGTCTCCCACTGTGTGTTTCCATTCTGCCTTCCACTAGTCACCCACCTAGAACCTGGGAACCTTGTCATCTGAGTCTCCATCTGAGTCTTCCCTCTGCGTCTCCCTATGCGTCTTCCGCTTTGTCTCCCACCGTGTCCACCGTGTCTCGCACTGTGTCTCCCACCTTGTTTCCCACTTTGCCATCTTATTTTTCAGATTGTTTCCAAACTTGTTTTCCACTTGTGTCCCAGCTTGATGTTCCCCTCCTTGTCTCCCAATTTGTTTCCCAGCTTGTCCCCCACTATGTCTCCCATTGTGTCTCCCGGCCTTGTTTCCCACCGTGTGTCCCAGCTTCTCTCGCACTGTGTCTTTCACCTGGAACCTTGGAACCTTGTCTGTCACAGTTGTATCCCGCCTTGTTCCCCACCTTGCATCCCAGCTGGTCTCCAACTGTGTCTCCCTTGTTCTCCACTGTATCTTCCCTTTTGTCTTCCACTCTGTCTCCCACTGTGTTTCCCACTGCTTTGCCTCCTCCTTTGTCGTCCACCTTGTCTCTAACTTTGTCTCCCCACTGTGTCTCCCACTGCGTCTTCCACCTTCTCCCACTTGTCTCCCAGCTTGTTTCTCCCCTGTGTTTCCCACTTTGTCTTCCATTGCCTCTTCCACTCACTGTGTCTCACACCTTGTCTCCCACTGTGTCTCCAACTTTGTCTTCTACCTTGTTCCCATCTCTGGAAGCAAGGGGCAGTTCCGCGGCTCGTCCCTTTTGCCCAGTATCCAGTGGTTTTCCAGTTGTCTTCCACAGCCCCCCGTTGTTTCGCAGATGCCGTCTATAACTGTTTTTTCACTTGTCCCCCATGTCTTCCACTTGTCACCAGGTTATCTCCCAGCCGTCGTGCAGGTGTGGTCTCCCACTTGTTTCTCAATGTCTTCGAATTAATTGTCTTTGACCTTTTGTCCCAGTTGTCTCCCGGATGTGGTTTCCCAGATGTTGTCTCCTAGTTGCCGTCAAGGTTTCTCCACGTGTTGTCTAGTTGACGTGTCGCCCAGATGTGGTTTCCCAGTTGTCTCCCAGATGTGGTCTCCGAATCGTCTCCCAGTTGTTTCACAATTGCCTTCCAGATGTTTCCCAGATGTGGTCTCCCGTTTGTCTCCCAAGTGTCTTCCACTTGGGCCCCACAATGCCCAGTTATCTTTCAGAGGCGGCCCCCAATAATTTCCAATTGGTTTCAGCTGGTTTCCATGTGATCTTCCAATTCTATCCAAGTTGTGTCCCTTAGCTTTAGCTTTGAATTTGAAACCGTCACTGCTGTTGGGGTGCAAAGCTGGGTTGATAGAGAATGTTGGGAGTATAGAGACTTCAAACAACAAGTCACAAGGTTGCTGTGCAGCCCGCTTTCGATTCAGACTGAATCTACAAACACCTGGCCCTACCGCGATTTGTTGCAGGGTGTATCCAATGTTGCTTTGGTTCCGAGACGAAATAAGATTATGAGCCGGGAGCTTAAAGAGGTCCGGCAAGCTTTTCAGAATGTCATATGAATGGCGCATGAAGAAAATGCATGAACATTAGGCATAAGTAGCCAGTGTCAAAAAGTTTCCACACATTTACTCGGTTGATCTCGGTTGTGTTTGGTGTTTCCTGAGATTTCCTGCGGCCTTTGGTGCGACATGAAGGGGAAACCCCCCCGCTGACCAACATTAGGACACTGCGCGTGATCTGCGCTTTATTTCATTGCAATTGCATCTCATTGCATCTCATTGAGTTTTACTGCTTTCATTGAGTTTCATTGCATCTCATGGCATTTCATGGCATTTCATTGCATCTCGTTGGATTTTATTGCGTTTCATTGAGTTTCATTGCATCTCATGGCATTTCATGGCATTTCATTGCATCTCGTTGGATTTTATTGCGTTTCATTGCCTTTTATGTGTGTTTCCATGTGCTTTGGCAGACAGTGCTAGGCACCGAAATGCTTGGACAGGACAGCGGGGCTCAAGTCATAGCGGTGAGTGGGGCAGATTCGGCGCAAGGCTTTCGCACAAAGAAATACAGGGAACTTTGCAAGATGAAGTCTCGGAAGTCGCCCTAAAGTACTGAGTGTGTTGCAATGCAGCAAAGTTTTTAAACACAAAGGTTGAATTCACAGGCACTTTCCGACGGTACAATGCTCAAAGCGCACACGGTGCCCTCTGCAGCTCTCAAAAGGTTGCCTCATGCTACATGCCACCGTACCAAACTTTCATCCCTGGCATTTACTCAGGTTGGGAGCTTTCTAGAGATCTGACTATAGCATAGCTCCAAATAGACGACAGTCTATGGTAGTGATGGTGCGCAGAACCTGCGCAACCAGCAGGCAGCAACAGGATAAATGCACTTCAGCACGCTGGCAGACAGGCATAAATATGTCAGCACCATTCGGCCGTATAGCATGTTGCCAAGATTGCGCCAGAAATGGAGCAAAGGAGAGATGAGATCATTGAGATCATTGAGGTACTGCACTCTCCGAAGATCTCCAAAAGGCGTCCAAAAGATCTCCAAAGTAAAAAGACATTGAAACTTGTTACCCCCATTGCCCCCACTGGCTTCGACTCACCTCAGGAGCGAGCCTCGCACAAGCGACAGCAAGCAGGCCTGGATCAGACACCAGAGCTACTTGCAGGTGCGACAGTGCAACGTACGTTGGATTTTCGGATGTGCAACGATATGGAGGAGTCCAGCTTCGCATTCTTCTTTGACACCGAACCAAGGACCCAATTTCAAGCCTTTTCTCATTCAGTATAGCCTCGCAAAGCAGATTGGTGAGAACCATTTTTCCACGTTTTCACATGATTCATCGCAGCATATACCTTAGGACTATTCAAGAGCAATCGGTCGAAGAAGAAGATGAGGAGGCCTAGTGCATATTGTGTCAGATAATGAGCTGTTTTGCGCACCACACCAAAAAGATTTTGTGGTGTTTACGATCCTATGCGGCTGGCAGCAGGTACCAAATGCAGAGTCTGCCCTCAGGCCTTTCACGTTGGATCGGGAAAAAGTGGGGGTGCGATCGGATAATCGGACGCAGGATATTTTGCTTTTAAGAACTCGCTGAATTGCTACAATTGTTGACTGAACAGACTGAACAGACTGAAAAGACTCAACAGGGTGCAGTCATCTAGCGAAGATGGCCACGAAGCAGGACCTGTGGCGCGGGTCCAAGATGAGTTTCAAACATGTTTCAACTGCTTGTTCTCTGCAAAGGGGGAGTTCGAGCAGGTGACCATGGTGAAATTTTCAGAAATCCAAGGCCTACCAGCTGCCGCGGAAAATCCACATCTACTTCTCAGACACTGGCGGTGGACATCGAGCATCGGCGCTTGCGCTGGAGGCTATCACTTTGTCTGACTTTGCCTTGGAACTCGAAGTATTTTGATGTTGCATGGGAATTTTGTCTGACGCAAGGCTGCTCTTGAGAAGCAATATGGCAGCCAGGCCATGAGCATTGAAATATAGAATGTACAGAATGTACAGACTGTCGGAATCTACGGCGAATGTACGGAATGTTCCATATATGTTCCACGTATGCTCTACATGTGTTCCACGTGAGCAGCCTTAAACACCTCCATCCTCCATCAATCTCCTGGAACCCAGAGGTGCCTTACTGTCCTTCAGAGTTGTGTGCTGTGCGCTCGACTTTTTTGCTTTCAAGCTGTCTTCAAGCTGTCTTCAAGCTGTCTTCAAGCTGTCTTCAAGCTGTCTTGAAGTAAGTTCTCTTGAAGCTCTTCCCATGTGATTTCTGGAATTTGACCTCCGCCTCCACATTCTTCGCTACTCGTAGCATCTCGTAGCTATGTTGTTTTCCTTCTCCAGCGACCCCGAGACCGTATGATATTTTCAAGAACCTGAGAACCCTGGTTTCAATGTGCCATCAGACAAATTCATTGATTCAAATATAGTCAAATGATGTCACATGCAATTAACAGGTCAATCTAGTGCAAGTGCCACTGGTGCAAATCGTTGGCAGGTGTCGGTTGAGTTAATCGACTTCTTCCGTGCGGCCATGCCATGGCCACTGTGACTGCCTTGAGGATTTCAGGTTCTCTCCCAAATGCAGATATCATCCAATACGATCAATACCTCTATCCAAGCCTCCAGCAACTGGAATGAGGTCCCAAGCGCCTGAGACATACCAGGCATTGTTGTCTTTATGAGAATTTGTTGGTTCTGAACGCTTGGAATTCTCATTTGGAGAGCTCTAGTCATTGTGCAGACCTTGGGCAATTTTCCATCCGTCTACAAGCGTGCTACGACCTCAAGTGACTCGAAGCTTGAGTTGCCAATGGCGTGAGTCTTGTTCCTCTCTCGCTCACTCTCTCTGTGCATGCGCTTACCCCTGTGCATGGTCTTTTCTCGGCTATTTAAGGCATGGGACTACGATCAAGATAGCGAAAAGTGGCAAGACACAACGAGTAGCTCCTTTGCAACTATGATCTAAGCCTTGAAGCCAATGGAAGCGCAGGATCCTTTGTCAAGACAAGACTAGATGAGGCTACCAATGGATGTGGAGCTACAGCAAGGAGCAAGCTACTAAGAGACGCAAACCATTGCAGACCTTTCAAACTGCTATTACGAGTTGATTCTGTTCCTAGTTTTTCCTGGAAACAGTGAAACATTTGCAGACACATCGTGAAGTACCTCCAGCCGCTTGATTTGGATCTGGCCATTTCGGTTCATCCTCTGTTCCTTGGCTGCTTGGTGATGCCGATGAGCCATGAAAACTTGAGATAACTTATATATTATTAAATTATGACTGTAAATGATACTTAATGCATCTTAATGCATCTCATGGCAGCAGAACGTTTTTCACAAAGGCTGTTTTGGCAACAGGTTTGAGTCTCGCGCGCCAGGATTCACCATTTGGTGATAGAAGCCTTGGAGGAGATTTCTCGAGGTCCAAAGCAAGAGCTGACACGTTCTCGCATTGAAATACGTGCAGACCATATTAAAACCAAATGAAAACCCAGACACGCCTCTAGCCACGAAATGCTTTTCCTCTAACCACGAGATGGCTCTGGAGCCACGAAAATGGCCTAGTTGTGAAAAGATTCATTTCCAGCTTAAAACCATACAGAAATCATATTGGAATTGAACCTTATTACCGGTTCGAACTTGAAGTAACCTTGGCCTGTGAATTCACAGTGCGTTTCCTCGGGCAGATGTAGTTCGCCATACATATCACGTTAAGATATTGGACCTGTGCATATAAAAAAATACAACTGTACAAATCTACATATCTACAAATACACACAGACACACAGACACAGACACAGACAGACACACAGACACACAGACACACAGACACACAGACACACAGACACACAGACACACAGACACACACAGACACACAGACACACAGACACACAGACACACAGACACACAGACACACACACACACACTAGACAAAATTGGATCTTTTAAGAGATCCATCAGGAACTGAGTCCTTTGAACGTGCAAAGTAGATGAGAACCAAATTAACCAACGTAGTACCCTTCGAATAATGGAAGTTCTCCAGAATGACCATCGAGTCCAGAATCGTCATCAAATAAAATGAAGACCAAACCCACGAATAAATAATCGAGGTGAAATTCAGATTGTGACAACCGTGCAAATGTAACATGTTTGTCGGTGGGGTTCTGAGCTTAGCCCCTTGCTATTTCGGGAAAATGCAAAAGCAGGTACGTCAGGGTGATCAGCCCTGATATCCCATCCAAGACCGTAGCTTCGTTGCACACGGTAGGTCAAGGATGCCGTGTGCCCCTGCTGTATTAGAAGGAGAGAGGAAAAAGGAAAGAAAAAGGAGAAGTTTTACATCTATTTAGATGTTACACACACACACACACCCGGCCAGAGCCGGGTCAACCCTGAAAGGCAAGAGGAAGAAAAAAGCGGACACAGACGACGGGCAAAAGGCCAAAACAGCGCAGGGGGGGGAAGGGAACGAACGGACCTCCAGAACCAACCTACGCGGCGAAACGGACCTGACAGAAACAGAGCACACACCTAAACCCCACGACACATTACGGAGAGGCACAGGTTAGGGACCGAATGGGGGACGAGTTGGTGACAAGAGTGAAAATACCGAACCAATTAACCTAAAAACGACCCAGTTCCACCTACAACAGATGTCGTGCGTTACTCCCCTTCGGGACCGTTGTCAAATCGTGCCGGAATGGCATAAACAGCTGTTCAAGTTCCAGCGAATTAGATGCACAAAATGTTCAACCTCACCAGAAAGCTATCAAAAGAAAAAGACCACACCTGGAAAGCATGTGCCTGCCTGCAATGTCTTTCATGGTCATGTGTCGCTTCAAAAGCTTGAGCTGCAGCGAGAAGAAGGAGGTTTCTGGTTGTTCGGATCTGCTTCACGCTGACAGAGATGCATTTCTCAAGGTTTCACCAGGGACCGCAGGACCAGCGGGACTTCGCAAAATGGTGCAAAACAGGAAGGCCAACTGTTTCGCATTACTTAAACGAATTACTAATTTAAAGTGTCAATTCCGATGTCAGGTTTGGCCACAGTCACCCGGTTGCCTCAAGTGGCTCCATGGCACCATGTCGGAGTCACCATGGATATTACACTAGACAAAATTGGATCTTTTAAGAGATCCATCAGGAACTGAGTCCTTTGAACGTGCAAAGTAGATGAGAAACAAATTAACCAACGTAGTACCCTTCGAATAATGGAAGTTCTCCAGAATGACCATCGAGACCAGAATCGTCATCAAATAAAATGAAGACCAAACCCACGAATAAATAATCGAGGTGAAATTCAGATTGTGACAACCGTGCAAATGCAACATGTTTGTCGGTGGGGTTCTGAGCTTAGCCCCTTGCTATTTCGGAAAAATGCAAAAGCAGGTACGTCAGGGTGATCAGCCCTGATATCCCATCCAAGACCGTAGCTTCGTTGCACACGGTAGGTCAAGGATGCCGTGTGCCCCTGCTGTATTAGAAGGAGAGAGGAAAAAGGAAAGAAAAAGGAGAAGTTTTACATCTATTTAGATGTTACACACACACACACTCACATATCTATACGTATATGTTATATGTGCACAAATAGATAGACAAATAAATTCAAATAAACATACATAAATATACATACACATGAACAAATATACATATGTACATATGTACATGTGTACACATGCACAAAAAGGTATACATGCAAGTGTCTGTGCAAGAACAAGAGAAGGTCTATAAATGTAGCACCAAGTGTCTGTGCAAGTGCAAGAGAAGATCTTGTAACGTACATCAAGCGTCTACGGAAGTAGGAGAGAAGATCTTATAACTCCCTATACGTTGCATCAACTGTATGCCGTGTACACTAGAAGGTCATGTAACGTAACATCAACTGTTTGTGCATGTGCCAGAAAGGATCCTTTAACGTAGCAGCAAGGGTGTGCGCAAGAACGATGGAGGTACTTCAACGTAGCATCCAACATCTGTGCAAGCACATGCATACACACATACACACATACCTACATATCTACATACCTACTGACCTACATACCTACCTACCTACATACCTACCTACATACCTACCTACATACCTACCTACATACCTACCTACCAACATAACAACATACAAATGTTTACATACCTACTTACTTGCAGACCCACATACCCACATACCTACATACCTACCTACCTACCTACCTACGTACCTACCTACCTACCTACATACATACATACATACACACATACATACATACATAAATACATACATACATACAGACAGACAGACAGCCAGGCAGACAGACATACATACATACTTTCATACATGCATACATACCTACCTACATACCACATACCTACGCACCTACATACCTACAGACCTACAGACCTACATACCTACAAACCTACATACCTGCAGACCTACATATCTACATGCCTACATGCATACATACAGACAGACAGACAGACATACAGACATAAAGACATACAGACATACAGACATACAGACATGCAGACATGCAAACATGCAGACATACAGACATACAGACATACAGACATACAGGCATACAGACATACAGACATACCGACATACAGACATACAGACATACAGACATACAGACATACAGACATACACGCATACATGCATACATACATACATACATACATGCATACCTACACACATACATACATACAATCAAACATAGATAAATTAAAGTACATTGCATTGCATTGCATTACTACACATGACATTTCATAAATACATTACATACATTATATGCATTACATACATTACATCCATTAGATACATTACATACATTACATACATTACATACATTGCATACATTACATACATTACATACATTACTTGCACTATGTACATTACATACATTACTTGCACTATGTGCATCACATACATTACATACACTACATACATTATATAGATTTTATAGATCACATACATTACATACATTACATACATTATATACATTACATACATTACATACATTACATGACATTACATACATTACATACATTACATACATTACATACATTACATACATGACATACATTACATACATTACATACATTAATTACATTACATACATGACATACATGACATACATGACATACATTAGATACATTACATACATTACATACATTACATACATTACATACATTACATACATTACATACATTACACACATTACATGCATTATGTACATCACATACATTACACACATTACATTGCATTACATTTCATTACATTACATTACATTACATGACATTACATACATTACATACATTACATACATTGCATACATTACATACATTACATACATTACATACATTACATACATTAGGTACATTAGATACATTAGATACATTAAATACATTACATACATTACACACATTACATACATTACATACATTACATGCATTATGTGCATCACATACATTACCTACATTACATACATTACATACATTACATGCATTGCATACATCACATACATTACATACATTACATACATTACATACATTACATACATCACATACATTACATACATTACATGCATGACATACATTACATGCATGACATGCATTACATACATTACATACATACATTACATGACATGACATGGCATTACATGATAATACGTGACATTACATTACATAACATTTACATTACATTTCATTACATTACATTACATACATGCATACATACATACATCCATGCATCCACACATCCATCCATCCGTCCATCCATACATACATACTTGCATGCATGCATGCATGCATACCAGCGAGAGACCCCCCCATACCCACAGGGGGGGAGGGGAGAGACGCCTCCATTCCCACAGGGCGGGCGGGAACCATGACCATGACGGGGGGGTGGGGTTGCAGGCCTTTACCATATATATATATTTTATTTTATATATACGTGTACATATGTGGATATGTACACAAGTGCTTTTGGGAGTTTCTGTTCCAACATGAAAAATGTTCAACATTTTCCAATGGCCTAGTCGTAGAACTGATCAAAACTGCGAGTGCATGAATCTCGTTGATGCAACACGTTTATGCCAGGTAGCGACGTTCCGCGCGAGGCACTGTACAGAACGTTTTTTTTTTCAAAATTTTATTTTTTTACGTTTTAACTTTTGCCGTGGTTGTTAATTTCTGCAAACTTCAAGTGATTTCTTTAAAACCCATGGTCTTCAGGACATTCGGTTGCCAGTCGTCACAGTGGTTCAAACCCTGGCACTCAGCGTTGCACTTGTTGAACACACCAACATCCAGACAATTCATGTGAAGAAACCAACGGCCCTCCCTACCTGAGGTTACTGATTTGGGATCTGCACATCTTTCCTGGTCTCAGCCGTAGCTTAAATCTGGTGAGCAACGTAATGTGCAGATCATGGTCAATGGTGCCACTGTTGCAAACCTTAAACCCGATTTCATAGATTTGCACTGCGGTACGCCACTATGCTGCTGTTGCCAGC